GAGAGATATAGATGAGAGAGAGATGATAAGGGGGAGAGAGAGAGAGAGTTAAATGAAGTGATGGTCATAAGCTAAGGAAATAGGTAATAGGAAAGATGAGAAGAATAATAGTAACACAGTGGTTTGACATCCCAGGCACAAAGCAACGTGGTGCGAATTAGTTGTTTAGCAGAGTGACGGCATTGGGAGGGGAGAATTGGTAGTTGTTTTCGGGCAATCCCCTATAGCAGTGGTGGCTCTTTTGAGGCTCCTGTGCCAAAAATTGTGTGCGCGGTTGCATGCTCGCGCTTGTGTGCCAGCACCCACGTTAAGCTTCGAGATATTACAGAGCCCAGAAACTATACCGTTGATTATAGCGTTGCTGTGGCTTTTCCCCCACATCCAGCTGGATGGCCAGTTGTGCAAGTTGTGTGTGTGTGTGTGTTCACCCCCCCTCCCCTTCCTTCTTTCCTTCCTCAACAGCTGCGGGAGCTGGTCAGCATGTGTATCTACCCGGATCCAGACCAGAGGCCCGATATCGGTTACGTGCACCAGTTAGCGAAACAGATGCACCTCTGGACGTCCAGCACTTGAAAGCGTGGCTCCTTTGAAGTCCGGCAAGGAGAACCGTTTACCCGGCTTAGTCTTACTTTTTGTCTTCAGACGAAACCAAAGCGGTGCCTCACCGAACTCAGAAGTGGCTTTTTGAGTGGAGTTGAGCCTTCTTCAAAGGAAGAAGACCCCACCCATGATTTCTGTACAGGTGCCCAGCAGGTGGATCTCATCCCAGTCCCCCACACGGCTGGGCGATAAAACGGCGGCCCAGCCTGAGTTGCCTCTTCCGAAACCGGATTATAACATGTTACCGATGTAGATCTTGTGGCTTTTTATTTTTTTTGGTTTTGTTTTTGTTTTTTTTTAAAAAAAGATCTTTTCTTCAAACTTCGTTTGCGTGTAATCTAAAGTTAGGCTTTGTAAGCAAGGGTTTTCTGGTTGGTGTATTTTTCTTTTTCTTTTTGGACATACCCGTCGTATCTTTTTAACTAATGTGAAATATTGGGAAGATGAATTCCTTTGGGGGTAAAATCGCCTCAATCCTAACGTTAAGAATTGCAATAGATTTAATTTTTTTTTGTTTCAGCGCGGTGGGAAGGGAAGGGGTGTGTGTAACATGTATAACTGCTACTTCGCTTCTTCTAGCAGTGGTTATATTAGCAAGTTCAGATTTTAAGTTTGTGTATTTTTTAAAAAAAACCAAGAAAGAACATCCAACCTGCTTTTTTAATTTCCCTTTGTATTTCCTTCCGTTGCAAAGAAAGTTGGTAATGGAGGAGGAGGAGGAGGAAGCTGAATTTTCCCTTCTTCTTTTTTTCGCCCCCTTTTCAATCAACCTCAGAATGATTTATTTTCCAGCGTGGGTTGTCAACTCTGGCTGCTCAGACCGGGTGGGCTTTTCAAAACCAAAGGAACGTCGTGTTTTGTCACATTTTTTTTTTCCCGGTTCAAGATCGCCACGGCGACTCCGTAGCCCGATGAGTGAGTCCGACTCCAGGCGCTGGGCACCATTGTGTAAAAGCCCATCTCTAGCCCAGGGTTGAGCCCCTAAAATTCAGGGCACCCCCCACACACACATCAAACAGGCCTCAAAAACCAGGTAAGTCCCGAGGAAAACGGCTTTCAATTCCCGATCGCCTGCATTTTTACTGTGAAAACTCATTTACCAATGTGAATACTTTTTAAACAAGTTGATCTGAAGGAAAATAATAATAACAACAACAACAATAATAATAATCCAGACTTAAGCATTCCGGAGATGCGAAGCTTAAGTTTTTTTTTAATTATTATTATTGGACGGAGGCCACTACCGGTTCCTTAATTCGGGGATCGCTATCTCTTGCAACCGGGATGTTCGGGAGAGGAAGTCACAAGTTTCTCTCCGCTGGGCGCTTTTTTAGAGGAGGAGGAAGAAGAAACAGCGAAAAAAAAAAAACTTTCTTTTTTTCCTGGAACGAAGATTGAAGAGTACAGGCAGGGTTTTTGGAAATTTAAGTGACACCGGTTTGGAACGGAGGATTTTTAAGAAGGGCTGCCAAACGGCGAGGCTGGGTAGGTGGGATATGGGGAGGGGTGACCAGAGGCCCAGGAAAAAATAAAAATTCTCGTGAAGATCCTGCCATCGGCTCCCAACTTGCTGAAGCTTTCTCTTCCCTTCTGCCAAAAACTTTCCGCCGCTCTGCAGGTGATTTTTTTTTGGGGGGTGGGTGGGTTGCCTAGTCTTGGGGGGTGGAGAGGTGTAACAACTTTGAAAAAGTTTTGGGCCGTCGGGAGGGTTTTTGGAAAGATAAATTGCTCGGCGCCATCTGATTGCGCTCTTTCTCTCTCTCTCTCTCCCGTTTTGAGGCCTCCTCTTCACATTTAAGTTGTCGTCCTTTTGACAAAGGAAAAAACCCCCCAAAGAACTGCATTTTTAGGAAAGATTTAGAGCGATTTACCAAATAAAAGTTTCCTTTGTAAAAAAGAAAAGTTTCCAGCACTGAGTTTTGGCGTCGATGAGGGGCTTCGAAAGTAGCACACGCCGTTCAACATTCAGGCGGGAGGGCATAGTTGAATCTGGGTAGTCCACGACTTGCGACGACGAAGGCCAAATTTTACACGGCTAAGCGAAGAGGGTGGTTAAGGCAGCTTTTTTCCGCCCTCCTTTCTCTTCTTACAACCTTTCTTGCCGCGTGGATCTAAATGGATCGCTGCAGTGGTTAGGGGAGTGACACAGCCGTAAGGTGAATTATGGCTGCCCCCGTTGTCTCCTGCAAACCGTCAAGTCCACGCCAACGGCCAAGCATCCGAATTTGGGCTGTGGGGATGCTACAACGGTTTTGTTAAAAAGTGTGAAAAACAATCGTGGGTCACTTTTTTTTTCCAGGGCTGCCGTAACTCAAAACAGTCACTAAACAAAAAGATTTAAGTTGATTGATTTACACGGAGAACAGGACTGTGGGCGCTGCCCTCACACCAGATCTGGGGTTTGCTAATTGCAATGTGCAATACCCAATAACCCAACTTGGAAAGGAGACGAAGGGGAAGGTTATAAGTCGAGGACCCCCCTGTATTCAAAGCCATAAAGTTTACATCGCAACAGGTAGAGAACACGATGGGCTTTGGAGACTGTTCTGACTCAGCTTCCCAAATATGACAAACCCTCCCGACGGGAACTCAAAACATTTATTTAATTGGGGCGCCAGCAGCCCTGGCCAAAAGTGTCTCTCACAGGCTAACAAATGGTCCGCCACGCCTACTTATCTCCACCCTCTGCCTTTTATCCCCAGAGCTAGGGTGGAGGCTCTGCTAGCAGCTGTGGCTCTTCCGTCCCGAGGACCGGCCTATAGATTTCCACTGCTCTCCTCTCCTCTCTGCCTTCTGGGCATTTGCGCGTCAGGCACTGTTCCTCCTCTTCCTCATCAGCCACCTCCAGACCTGGGGGCTCTTGACTCTCCATGTGAGGGATGACGGATGGCCCAGGCTCCGCCTGTGTCTGTCTGTCTGACACCTCCATTCCTCTTCCCCCTCAGAGCTCTCAGGTTGCCTTGATGCTGACCCTAACTCCTACATCTCCCCCTCCTCCTCCGATTCGGTTGCTGGAGGGGCCGACAGGCCACAACACTCTTCCCTGCCCTCCTCCAAATTACAAGAACAACCCGCCCTGTTTCCATTATTTATTATTCATTTATTCATTCGGTTAATTGTAACAAATTATTTTGACTTTGAAGGAATACTCTCGGTCCCCTAACCGTGTCCCGGACTCTCTGCCGGGAATCAGGACGTGTCCATGGTCTGCACCGTCTCCTCCGCCACTTCCAGTTCCAGGCAGATAACCTTTTCCGATAGGATGCCCGTGGTGCCCTTCTCACACCGGTATTTTCCTTGCCTGTCGAGGAGCAAAAAGGCAGCACCGTCACAGAAGCTTTCTGGGTCGGAGTAACTAACTCTACAAGCGCTGTGGCCCTGTGCAGCTGGCCAAGCAAGACTTTTTTTCCTAGAGAGATTTTGGGAATCTTGAGGACTAGAAACACACACAGATTTTTTTCATGCCTGTGGAGATTCTCCATAGGGTCATGATTATCCCAAAGGTGCTTTCCTCCCCCCCTCCCCACCCCAAAAAAGGTGACTGGACTTCCCTGGATTTTTTGAGGACATTTTGCTTCTCATCCCAGAAGCTTCTTCAGTTCTAATAGAACATCAACCCTTCCCACGCCCCCAGAACTGAGGAAGCTTCTGGGATGAGAAGCGAAACCTCTTCAAGCAAAAACAAAGGAAGTCCACTTGCCTTTTGTGAAAAGCCCCTCTGGCAACGCCCTTTTTCACACGTCTCCTTCAGCGGGAGGAAAGATGATTTCCAAGGATTTTGCAAGAAAATCACGCAAAAAGGGGCAGATTGATACCACTCCAAACGTTTTCAGCCCACATCCTGGACGGGAGCTGCAACCTTCACATGGCCAATTCAGCCTCATGTCTCACAGCCTGAATTCCTCCGTTGGGAGCCTTGGTCCTTTCAGCCGATGCATCGATTAATCGTTTGCAAAGGCGCTTTTTCAAGAGGCGCCTGGGCTTCCTTGGTTGTTTTTTTTCCTTGAAGACGTTTCGCTTCTTGTCCAAGGAGCTTCTTCAGCTCTGACTGGATGGTGGGAAGGATTTACCTTCAGTTAGAACCGAAGCAGCTTTTTGGATGAGAAGCGACAGGACTTCAAGGAAACCACAAGTGGATCAAGTGGCCAGTTTTAAGTTTCTGGGGGTTACCCTAAAAGAGGACCTGACCTGGGGGGCTCTCATTGCAGCCCTGGTCAAAGTCTATATCCATAGACATTTGCGTTTGCTACCTTATACAGCTAAGTCCTTGAATTACGACCGCAACCCCGAGCCCAACATTTACGACAGATTTATTCAGCGAGTTTCGTCCCCTTTTACAACTTCCCTCGCCCCAACTGCTAAGTGAATCCTTGCATTTTGTTAAGTTGGGAGCGCGGTTCTTAAGCGAATCTAGCTTCCCCACTGACCGCCGCACTGCAACCATCATAAACACGAGTCGGCAGTTGCCGACAGTCTGAATTTGGATCACGTGACTGAGGGGATGCTGCAACGGTTGTGAGCGTGAAAAAAAAACAACGGCCGTAAGTCACACGGTTTTTCACTTCCGGCTATTATCGTGCTGGGGTTTCTCAGCCTGTTTCAAAGGACTCTCTTTCCCCAAGGAGAACTTTTGCAAGATCCGTTGCAACCCTGGTGGTCCCTCCCAAGCAAAACCCTATCTGGTTCACACACACACACACACACACACACACACACACACACACAAAAACAACCCCTCACCTTTCCCCCTTTTTGTTTGGTGTGTTGTACGGACGGAGGAAGTCCAGCTTGCTCTTGTTAATGACACAGATATCGATGTTACTGCCAGAGCCCAGGTCATTAAATATGCCGGCTGCAATAGCATCTCTCACGAGGTGTTTGGCTTCTTCTTCCTAGAGGGGGAGGGAGGGAGGGGGAAGGAGGAGGGAAAAAACAGCAACAGCACTTAAGACTTATATACCTCTTCACGGTGCTGCACAGCCCACTCCCAACCGCTTACAGAGTCAGCCTCTTGGCCTCCCAACCATCTGGGTCCTCATTTTACTGACTTCGGAAGGACGGAAGGCTGAGTCAACCTCGAGCCGGTGAAGATCGAACTGCTGGTAGTGGGCAGAATTAGCCTGCGACAGTGCGTTCTAACCACTGTGCCACCACAGCTGATAGATGAGTAGATAGATAGACAGACAGAAGACAGGCAGACATGGATGGATGGATGGGATTGGAATAGATACAGACAGACAGATAACAGTAGCAATAATCAGACTTATATACTGCTTCGCAGTGCTTTGCGGCCCTCTCTAAATGGTTGACAGAGCCAACTATTTCACCTAACAATCTGGGTCCTCCTTTTACCCACTTCGGAAGAATGGAAGGCTGAGTCAACCTTTAGGAGGAAGGAAGGATGGGTGGGAGGGAGGGAAGGAAGGAATAGAAATCCAACCAGTGAAGAAGGAAGGAAAGAAAGAGAGAGGGTGAGGGAAGGAGGGTGGAGGGAGAGGGGAAAGAGAGAAAAGAAAGAAAGAAAGAGAAAGAAAGGAAAAGAAAGAAAGAAAGAAAAGAAAGAAACAGCAACAGCACTTAGACTTATATACCTCTTCCCAGCCCTCTCTAAGTGGTTTGCAGAGCCAGCCTCTTGCCCCCAACAATCTGGGTCCTCATTTGACCCACCTCGGAAGGAGGGAAGGCTGAGTCAACCTTGATCAAGCAAAAATACAGATACACACATACATACATAAATACCCACACACACACACACATATATTATATATACATATACATATACACACACACACACACATACATATATTATATACACACACACATATATATATTATATATACATATACATACACACACACACACACACACATATATATATGCAGTCCTTGACTTACAATCAAGCCCACAACTTCTGTGGTTAAGTGTGAGGTGTTGGTTAAGTGAGCTTTGCCTCACTTTACAACTTTTCTTGCTACGGTTCTCAAGTGAATCGCTGCAGTTGATAAGCTAAGTCACCCCGGTCCTTAAGTGAATCTGGCTCCGCCCACTGTCAAGAAGGTCACAAAAGGGGGTCGTGTGATCCCCCCAGGGACGCTGCAACCATAAATATGAACCGGTCACCAAGCACATCTGAATTTGGATCACATGACCATGGGGGGAACCCTGCCATTGTCGTTAGGTGTGAAAAAACGGCGGCAAGCCACGTTTTTCAGTCCCATTGTAACTTTGAATGGTCCCTAAATGAACTGTTGTTTGTCGAGGACTACATATATATATAGAGGGGGGGGGAGGTCGAGAGAGAGAGGAAAAGGAAGAGGAAGAAGAAGAAGAAGAGGAGGAGGAGGAGGAGGAGGAGGAGGAGGAGGAAACAGGACAAAGATATGGAAAGAAAAGAGACAACAGGGAAGTTGACAGGTGCTTCTACAGCCACACATTAGCTGGAATTATGCAGTTGACTCTTCCAGTTTGGGAGTGGGAAAGAAAAACATTCTCCAAAAAAGAGGAAATAATTTTTTTTTGCAAAAGTTTTATTCAATTTTCACATATGAGAGAGAGAAAAATATATATATATATATTCAGTGTGAACAACAGGATTCAAACTTGACTTACATTTCACATTCATCTTTCACATTTGGTAACTTATCTTAAACTTACTTTATATATTTTCTTTAATTTTAATCATGAAGCTTTTCCCATCTTATTTTATAATTTTTTTCCAATACATTGTTTGATCAATATTACTTCTTATGAAATGAGGGGATTAATTATGTCTGTTTTATCTATAATTTTTTTTAAAATCTATATTTTTAGGTAATGAGAAAGGGAACTTGCAGACGCAGATTTAAAAGAGATATACGTAATGTAGTAATTCTTAGAAAATTATTACGTTTTCTTCTTTTTTAAAGTGTTGACTCAAATTATGGGAATCTTAGGGGTGGATTAATTATGTGATACGTTTAACCACAGGGATGGCACTTTGGAATTGGCAAGTAGGGGTGTTGCATGGTTTGTTTTTTTTAGTATGTTGAAAATGTGTGAATTGCCGGAATGATGAATTAATAGATGAGTAAATTGCAGACCTGACTTCATAAGAAGATAACACATAGTGAAGACGAAAATATATAATGATGTATTAAGGATTTTAAAAAGAGGAAATACATTTTGCCTGCATTTGAATAACTGCAACGTTCAACGGAGGGAACGAGCCTCTTCCCTGGGCTGAAGAAATGGAGCCAATTTGGCGTTGCTCGCTCCTGAAATGATTATTTATTTTTCCCCACGTTGCATTTTTAAAAAAAGCTCCCCCTGCTTCTTCATTCATACTCCCGAGGGGAACGAGGTCTCCCCCAAAAAATAAAATTAAGAAAATAAAACAAATTTTATTTGCAAAATTTTATCTTTTTTTCCCCCCTTCTGGGAGAGAATGGACACTTTTGGCGCTCCCTAAAATGCCTGCAAAGTGACCCGTAGGAACAACGGCATAAAACGAAACTCTCTTATTACATCAGCACCCTCTGCAGGGCCACCAGGAAAAAGGGACTCCGTGTTTCCAAGGCTGCCCTGGATAAATCCTCCCTGGAGTAAAAACGGTGTAGATAAGATTCGGGTGAACGTCAGCATTCCAACTAACCAACTCCAAACTAGTAAAGCTCCGAGACAAACATTTCCTCAAAAGTTCTGTTTTATTAGTCATATTGGCACATGATCGGAGGTGAGTATTCAGCCGGTTCTGACCGGTTCTGGAGAACCGGTAGCGGAAATGTTGAGTAGTCCGGAGAACCGGCCAATCCCGCCTCTGACTGGCCCCGCCAACCCCATCTCTTCTCTGCCTCCCATCGAGTCCCAGCTGAGCGGCTGGGTCTCCTTTGGTTGCCCTGCACAGGAGAACGGAGCTGGAAAGCAGGTGAGTGGGCGGGGAGGGAAGGGTTTTTTTACAGTATATCCTTCCCCTGCCACGCCCACCTAGCCACACCCACCAAGCCACACCACGCCCACAGAACCGGTAGTAAAAAAAATTAGAATCCCACCACAGAAATGTGCCCATTTATTTATTTTGGGGGGATTATCTGCAGACTTTCTATTGCCCCGGGGAAGCGACTTCCTAGCTGTAGTTAGGAGGAAGACGAGACCCGGACGGTCTCTTCAGCCACTGGAGCCTTCTCCTGCCCCTTAGAAGAGGACAACCGTGGACGTCTATTTGGGAATCCCATTGCGCCACGTATCTTCTGGCTATCTGCTGTGGGCTGGGTAAAGGGTGAAAACCCTGGAAGTCGACTTGGTTGGTGGGCTGGGTCTCAAAAACCTTGACCAGTACCAGCGGTGGGATTCAAAGATTTTTACCACCAGTTCAGCGGGTGTGGATTGGTGGGCAGGGTTTTGCACGCGGGCACATACTTGGCCTGCACGCACATGTGTTCCAACTCATGCCTCCTGCAAGCCTGCACGCTCCCTCTTGCTTCAGCAGCTGCGCTTCAAACGCAGGGGGTAAAGGTGAGTAGGAGAGCCCAGGTGGAGAGAACCGGTTCAGTCTCTGCTTCTCATCAGCGCTACCAGCTCGGCAGAACCGGTAGAATACCACCAACGGGCATAAAACTCTGAGAAGCACAAAGCTGAAGACACAAGCCTGAAGGTGATGAATGAGACTTCATCGAAACGTTGCCTAGATACTTCCAATCTTACGCGGGAGAAAACCCGAATAACCAAAGATCCACATACATATATATACATATACATACATATGTTTTCTTAAGTAACTTTAAAAGCACAACTACAATGATGTGGGAAAATACCCGAACTAAGCTGAATGCCATACATACATACATTTGGCACAGATGCACAGATGGCTAGAAAAGATAAGAGGGAAACACGCAGATTTTAAACCTGAACTGTTTTTAACTAGGTACAATCCCAGGGAGGAAAAATCAATAAGGACGTATTTAATATTAACGTGCTTTAACAGCAGCGGGAATTATTTTCGCCCAATATTGGGGAAAAATGAAGAAACACCGCGAGACGAAGGGATAATAGGGAAGATACGAGACTGTGCAGAAGTAGGATAGACTGACACTGAAAATGAAACTGAGAGAAGTCACAGAATTTTATCAAGCATGGAATCTATTTTATCCGTGGATGGAAGAAGAAAAAAGGGGGCGAAGATTGAGAATGTAAAGATGTATTGTTAAGCCAACTAAACACCCGGACGTGATGTTTATTAAGTACTAAGAATTTGTAATTAGTAGAGAATTAATTTATATTGAAAAATAATAATATAGACAAGGGGGCCTTGAAAATAAGTCATGTCAGATGTGAGTTTGGAGAGAAAAAGGACCAAATCTTAGAAAAACTCTAGAATTTCAGCCTCTTTTGCAGGCTTTTGCCCTGGCAAACCTGCCTCTCCTTCTCGCAGACCCCATCCAGACCACCTAGCCCCACCCCAGGGCCCCTCACTCGACAAGGGGGAACGGCGTGCTCCTCATCCTCACCGCCAAAGCTTCAAGTCCCTGCCGCGGGTTTGAAAAACGCACACCCAGGCCGTGTGCTCTCCTCTTTTGGACCCTGTAGGTTCTCCCCAATTTTTTATTCCAGCAGCAGCTGCCATGCGTAGCGCTGAAGAAGACCCCAACGGGCAATTGAGGCTGTTCCCAGCGCATGTTCAAGCCCCTCCGGAGACCTTCCACACGAGAGGCCCAGGTTCTCACAGCTCAATTACTTCGGGCTCCCAATCTCCTCCGTGGAAAAGGCTTTGCTCATTTGCAGGACTCTTGCTATTCTTCATTTCAACAGACACACACGCACACACACACATCCTGAGCTGGCTCTCGGTTCAGGTCCTGGCTTGATCACATCAATACACCCAACTTAGTTCTACTAAGCCAATGTTTTGCACTCTTGGCTGCTTGGCCCAATTCTGGGG